CTATCTCCTTGTCTTCCTCAAAACATGTTTTCATTGACTGCAATAAATCCTTAACCATATGGATGAACGGTAATTTATTTGACTATCATAAAGTCAAATAATTTGGACTTTGTCTTGTGGAACTTCCTCTTTTACCTCAACACTACTGATCATTGATTTTCTGAGGTGAAACTTCTGTGACAGTGTGAGCAAAGTGAGTTTCCAAGTTAGAAAAGACACCCATGCTTCCCCCAGGCCTCTTGCCCCCGGCGGGCACTAGAGGGCGAGCTGGAGTCGCCCAGCGGGGAGGGCAGGTGTTGGACAGCTGCGGCCAGGGCTATTTCCGCCTTAGAGAGGGCACGCGGAAAAGGCCAAAGGGCCAGAGCCAAAGACATGGAAAACTGGGAAATGAGGCGGGGTGAAATAGAAGAAGCACACGCCTACTGCTTCCTGCTCATTCTGAATACTTCCTGTCCTGGCCTCATTGGAAGGCTCCGCCCTGGGGGGCTGGTCAGGTGCTGACAGCATTTTACCCCCCAAGGGAAGATACTTATCTCATATCTCTAAACACTTCAGGTTGAATCGCACCAGGAGAAAGAGACTTCCTGCTATACATCAAGTGGGATTAAAAATGGATGCTAAAACCATGGAAATTACAACCGGGAAGATAAAATGCACAAAATGAAGAATGATGTAAAAAATAAATAATTGAAAAAATAAAATAGAAGCTAAAGGAGGCTTCCTTGGCTGTTGGTGGTAGTGCATGATGTTATTTAGGGAGACTGGAATTTCCCCTCTGGAGACTCTCAAGGGGAGGCTGAAACCCTCCTGCACTAATGCAGACAAGGATGGCAGAGGCCATCTTTCACAGTTCCACTGTGCTCTAGGACTCTGGTGTGGGCCTCAAGTGAAGGGGTGCTTACAGCCCCACTCCTACCATTCAGTGGGGTCAAAGCAGCCTATCTTACTCTCCCCTCAATGAAAGAACTTTCTCCCGGCTAGAGAGCATACTGTAAAGATGGCTTCGGCTCCCTGCCCCACACCCAGCCTCTGCTGCGTCTCTTCCCAAGTAGCCACACAGGGAAAAGGATTCCAGATTCTTCCCCAGAAATCACCAGAAGAGGCTGCCCTGCCCAGTAGATTGGGCCTGAGCAAAGCCTGTGACCACACGTGGACCTGTAGTTGCCAGTTTATACTGGCATCCCACTACCCGGATGTCCTACTCTCCACCCAACCTCCCCCACTCCCCACCCAACCCTGCAGGCATCCGTCTCACCTGGAAGTGGGCTGCACTGGACATTGGGGTGCGGCTTTGAGTCCTCCATCTCTAGCTGGAGTTCCTCCAGGTCCAGGTCATCTGGGAGGGGAGTCAAGGACAGGGTTCAGACACCCACCCCTTTGAGAGCTCGCCCTGCCCATCTGCTTCTAGGCTGCGGGGTAAGCATTTGGTCAACTCCCCTTTACCCATATTGGATTCTCTGCATTGTTGTGCATGCACACCGCTGAGAGTCAAGGCAGAGGAGATCTGAACTGGGGATGTTAGTAACCACATGGTTTCCCTCCCTGGCCAGGTTTCTGCTTTAACTCCAAGTCCGACTGTAAACGCCACACACTGAGCAGGTGTGTGGTATATGTGTCCAGAGGCGATGACTGGGGAAAGTGAGTGGAGGCCATTTGTGTGGGGAGCAGTCAGAGTAACAGCGGAGTGGCTATCTAACTTGGGAGGGGTAAGAACAAGAGGAGAGGTCTGAGGGCTGTTGAGCATACAGGAATTACAAGCTGCAATTGTCCCAGAGGGTGGAGCCAGGATCAACAGATGAATCGTAGAAGTAGACAAATTTCAATGTAGATGGAGTAAGTTCCCACAACTAGGGGTGTCCAACCAAGAAGAAGAATGGGGTCCACATGTCGAGAGCAACCCCAGCCATGTGCCAGGTGTGAAGCAAGTGTGGAAGGATCCAGCAACCAGCAAGATGTGCCCTGCTAGCAAGGAGCTTAGGGGCACGAGTGAAGAACGCAAGCCATCAGGACACAGCGCGCCCAGTCAGCCAATACATCCATGCCACAACCAGGGCGACAGGCCCCATGCCACGAGCCTGCATCTGCCCAGCAGCTGCACAAGGCAAGGCCCGCATCGCCATCACAGGACAGATGAGGAGAACCGCTCAAGAGCTGGTCCTTGTCTCAGCCCGCGACCGACCCGCAGGACTCATCCAGGCATCTCCGTCATCTGCCCCGAGGGTTTGGCTTTTCTGCTGCCCCCGGTCAGGGCCTGATGTGGGAGTGAGGGCTGGCAGGGACAGGAGCGTCATGGGTGATCAGCCAAGTATGATTCTTCACTGGGGATCTGAGGCAGAGAGCCCCTCGTGGGGACAGGGCCCTTGTATTCTGAGCGAGAGGTTGGACTAGATAATCTTTACGCAGCCTCGGACTCCAAGCTGGCTCTGAGATTCTCTTAGAGAAAAGAGAATCATAAAGTCAGATACTGTTAAAGAAATGCTGAAACTGTGGGCATCAGACGGGATTCCAAGTATTGTGATGTTTCTAAAACTAAGGCCTGTGAACTCTGGGAGGGTGAGAGACATCTCAGGGGTTCATAAATTCTGTAGTAATTTCCAAGTGAGAATCAAATACATTTTATAACTTATAAGACAAAATTCTCTCTTTGCAGTGATAATTCAACACTGGAAGACTTTTTGTAAGAGTGAGATTTTACTTTCTCCAGTCAGACTGGACAAGGTGTTGGAGGCCCTAAGTGTCATTAGGACATTGCCTGTCTTTCAGGGGGATGGTACAGTTCTTCCGTTTTCTTTTTTTTTTTTTAATTTATTTATTTATGCATACAAGAACAGGGGTACAGGCCAGAGGTGCGGGGGTTGAGAGGCTTCACCAGAGACAGAGGGGGGAGCAGATGAAGTACACTGCTGAGGGGAACAGCAGGCGGGTAGGGAGAGGTCTGCCATGCCATGTGGGTCACCTCCCTGGCCGGGATGGAACTCATGCTGTAGTGGTTAAGGATAGCTTCCTAGTGCTGTGCTTTGACCCACTGTGCCACCAGGGACGGCCTGTACGTTGCTCAGTTTTAAAGGCTAGCTCCCTGCAAGCCCTTCCTCCCCACAGCAGTGGGGAGGTGACTGTCTGTCATATACCACCTATAGCTCACGGCAGTTTGCTCCCTGCGTGAATCCTTCCTCCCCACCACAAGCGTAAACACCTTCAGCAGGGAGTGTTCCGCCGGAGGCAGGAGCTGCCCGGGCCCAGACAACATCAGGGTGAGTGAGAGGCCGAGGTGCAACCACAGAGCCCTGGCATTTCCGCCCTCTCTACCTTTCATTCTTTGCCCACCCTGTTCTCCAGAATGGAGCTCAGTAATTCTTTGAAATCAAAATGCATGAATGAAATGGGGGGTGGGGGAGGAGAGGGTTGGGACCGGTGGTGAAACCATGGCCTCTGTCTGGGGCTGGGAAAGTCACAGCCAAGGTGTTAAGTAACCACTCTTCAAACGAAGAGGAAATCAAATCTGGCTGCTGCAGCAGCTCCTGGCTTTCCTTCTTGGGGCTCATTAGTTCCCACAGGAAGTGGGGGGCCCTCCCCTAGCTCCCATTACTGGCGACAGGCAGCCCACGATCCTGACACCCTGTGGCTCTCCAAGACCTAAGCCGGTGGAAAGTTTCACCTTGAAGGAAAGTTTCCATTCCTCCTTCCAGTCCCCTGAGGGAGTGTACAGCAGACATCCGGAACGTTCCCCGGGGCAGTTGTCTGCAGGCCCAGAGCCAGGCTTGCTGCTGGGCATCTTCTCCTCAGGGCCTCACTGCCTCCCTCAGGAGGTTCACGGGGAAGGAGGCTCCCAGAGACCCCCCGCATGTCTGCCCAACATTTGGCCTCCATAAGCCGTGTCCTGGACCATACAACCACACCCCTTTCACACGGACATCGGAAGGCACCCAGCTTTCTGTGGTAACCGTGGTAGAAGGAGCAGTAAACATACATTACCATTTATGGAATCTTTTAATCCTCCTCACCAGCCGCCATAATGTTGTTCTTGTTTTATAGATAAGGGAACGGAGGTTCAGTGAGGTTAAGTAGTTCATCTAAAGCAACCCTGTGGCCAGGTATGGAATCCTGAGGTGTTTTCCTCCGTTTCGATTTTTCTATTTAGCTTCCCCATTGATGTATTATTAGAAGGAGTTAGAGATTGGAAAAGAAATGTAAAAACCAGGGTCCCTTTTCTCTCCTTCCTAACTCTGTCAAGGTTCTGTGTCATAGGGTCCCTTTATCTAAGTAGCTGTTAGTAGGCGACCCCTCAGAACCTGCCTGCCCTGCCCTCCAAACTTTACATTTTACCCCCAACTTTTCCAGAAACAGACATGGGTCTAGCCCATGGGCTTCTGAAATCTCCCTTTCAGACTTTAGCCTCATCAGGACAAACTCAGGATTCATCCCTACAAGGTTCCTTGGGTCTCAAGGACATAAAGTGGGAGGACTTTCTTTTTTCTGGAAGCAGTTTAATTTAATCAATCATTTAAGTCAGATTGACCAGAAAATGGATCTTTCTCCTTGAGAAGGCCCTGAGGTGTAAGGGCCTCTGTGACAAGGTGGCAGCCTGGGAAAGAACCTTCTCGCTACAAGAACCTCCCATGAGGTTCAAGTTCAAAGGGCTTGGGAAATAAGATCACTACACTCATCCTCATCTTTATTAATTTTTCCCAAGCCCCTCTGGGGGGGCCGCCTTAGAAAGACAAAGGAGAAACTGAGGCCATTTCCTCCCAGGCCACCAGTGAGGGTCGAGGGTCGGTCTCTGCCTGGGGCTTTGCTCTGCAGCCACTGACAGATGCCCTCTCAGGCCCACCCTGGCCCCCAACCTTCCCTCTAACTTCCTCTCCACAGGCCCCACCTGCCCTTCCCAGGCCCTTGGCACTTACAGTGGCTCTCGGCTTGTCCAGCCAGAAGGCCCAGGGGCCTCCTTGAAGCCTCCTCGTCATCAAGGTGAAAGTCCTCAGCCTCCCACTGCCCAGAGGCCTTGAAGAAGCTGGCACAGACACCATAGGCGCAGCACTGGTAGGCAGAGGGCACCTCCAGGATTCTGGGGGAGAAAGGTGGGGAGGGGAGACGGGCGGCCTTAGGCATGTTGGGAACTTGCACTGCGCACCGCCTCGGTGGCAGCAGCTTCTGTGGCTTTTTCTGTAAGGATCCTGCCACCTGGCTCCTGGCACTGAAGGTTCCGAGCAGAGTCTGGCCACATCGTTCGTCTCGAGAACTGAGACTGGGAGATGAACTTCCTGCCACTGTCAAGCAACTCAGCAGGTCCACTCCTGCTCCCTGCCACCCAGCAACTCTGACATTATAGGAGACAGGGTTTCTCCCAGGGACTTCCAAACTGCCCTCACTGAGACCAACATCCTGTCCCCCACCCTAGCCCCGGGCACAGCAGGGTGGGTTCTGTGTCTTCTGAGGGTGAGGGCCGAAGCCGCCGGGCAGCAGACAAGCGTGGGCCACACAGCTTGTGCCTCCGCCACCGCTGCTCCTTCTGCATGTAGGAGGCCTGGATGTCATTAGCACCAGAGGCTGGCTGTGTGGCTTGTTTTCCACTCATCATGCCCTGGGCTCTGCCCTGATTCCAGGGCCCAGATGCCGCCCAAGAGAGGACGGGCCGGCGGGGTGCGCAGAGCCGGGCAGGGACAGGCCACCGGGTCTTGGTCACAGGGGCCTCGCTCTGTCCTCCCGAGGGGGTCTCAGCATCCCCTAGGGGACACCTGGGATGAGAGGGTGCTCCCAAGCAGCTGAGGAGGAAGGGGGCACGCTCTTCCCTGTGACTTCCTTCCTCCCTCGCCCTCCATGACCTCGCCAGCTGCCCCCACTATCTGGGTGTGGAGGAAAGCCAGGCCCTCACCTCAGTTCTGGAAAACTGTCCTTGGAGAAAGCCTGAGACAGAGCTAGGTTCCCCTTGAGCTTCAGATGCTTCAGGCCCCCAAGTCCGGCCAGGGGCAGTGTGGTCAGCTGGTTGTCTGTCAGGTCCCTAGGACAGTGGATGGTCAGGGTTATTGGCAGTCAGTGGGACTGCAGAGGGGCAGAGCTGGGCTGAGGGTGCGGCGAGCACGTCTGGGATGGAAGCAAGAGGAGAGGCCAGAGGCCAGATGAGCACGGATGATGCAGGAGGCGCGGCTCAGGGGCTGCTGTGGCTCCCAACCGTGCGCAGGACCTGAGCTAGCTCTGCTCATCAGACAGAGCCCCTCACATCAGTTCTGGAAAACCGTCCTTGGAGAAAGCCTGAGACAGAGCTAGGTTCCCCTTGAGTTTCAGATACTTCAGGCCCCCAAGTCCAGCCAGGGGCAGTGTGGTCAGCTGGTTGTCAGCTCTCCAGACCTGCATCCAGGTCTGAGGCCCAGCCGGGGCCTCTGCCCAGACTGCTGGGGGACCCGCCTGTTGTTCCCATTCTCCTGATACAAGACGCCGAAGTGAGGCTTGGACCAAGCATCATCCGCCTACGCGCAGGGATCGTGTCAGCCGCTCGGTGTGGCGCTGTAGCTGTAGGTGAGAACATGCGTGGTCTCCTGCTGCAGACACACTAGTGGCAGTCAGGGCTCCAAACCAAATACCACGACCACAGACCGTGCGTCGTGGAAACAGCCTGGCCTGGAAGGCAGGAAGCCGGGCGCGGGCGCCAGCTCCCTGTGTAACCAAGGGAGCCAAAATCTGCCCAAGCTTCAATGTCCTCATCTTTCAAAGGGATAAAAATATCTACCCTACCTTGCTGGCTGGCTAAAGCAAACAGAAGGGTGAAGACGGAGGTGAGAGTTTTGTAAGGCTGCGGCCCAGAGCCCAGGCAGCGCCAGACCCGGGAGGGGCCGCACGTCCCAGGAGGCCTGAGATCCAACCCTTCCCTTTGGGCGAGATTCTCCCCCTGGGCCTGTGAGGCCTCACCTGTGACGGGAGGGTGGGGCTAGATGGTCTCTGAGGCCAAGACTGGAGCTAGCCCATAGGCTCTTCTCTGTGTTCATCTAAAAGGGCCTTTTGAGGGATGGACGTGCCTGCACCACACGTAGCTTGGTGAGCAGCCTGGCAGGCGGTCAGGTCCCTTCGGGTAGCGCCCTTGTGCAGTGTACAACTTGCACGTCAGTCTGTGACAGCCCCATCCGAGGCCCCTTATGTGGTCAGGTCCCCCTCGGTTGAGCGCCTTTGTGCAGTGTACAACCTGCACGTCAGTCTGTGACAGCCCCATCCGAGGCCCCTTATGTGGTCAGGTCCCCCTCGGTTGAGCGCCTTTGTGCAGTGTACAACCTACACGTCAGTCTGTGACAGCCCCATCTGAGGCCCCGTACGCTGACAGAATGACCATTCAGTCAGCCTTATGCGCTCCCTGTTTGGTACCTATATAATGAGAGGAACCGTGACCCCCATTGCCCTGAAAAATGGCAGCTCTCTGGAGGAACGCTGATACAGGAGACCCTGGCTCCCCATCTGCTGTGAAGAAGGTTCAGACCCAAACAGCTCCTGATCAGTATGGTGGGGAAGGGCCAGGCAGGAGCACAGGGAGGACTGAGGTGGCCAGAATGTTGCAGAACATTAGCAGATGATGTTCCAGAATTTACAGGAGGTAGGCCCCATGGTCTGTCAGATGGACTGGCGGAATGATAGATGAGGTCAGAGTCTCTCTCCCAGGGATGTGTGGCCAAACATTTAGGCATGGTCCCACCCTAGGGGAGCCCCCTGGTAGCCCACACTCCTGCTGGTCTCTGGACTTGAGCAGGAGGGTACAGTTAACACTTACAGCTTCACCAGAGAACGCAGGGTCGTGAAGGCCTCAGGGTGGATAGACCGAATGGCATTCCAGCTCAGGTCCCTATGGGCAGAGAGGGGGTGACAGGAGGGGACAGTGACCCATGGAGGACTCTTTGCTCCCACCCTGGGTTCTCCTTCACCTACCTCCCCCATCTGAACTATTTCAGGTAGCAGTGACCTCAACCCTTGGGGGAAGGTAGCCGCTGTGTGGTGCCCCACCTGGCTGTGGCCCCCATGAACAGGAATGGCAGCTTGACTCTAGTGCCTCGTGGCTCTGTGTACCAGCTGGAGAAGCAGCTGGGGAACCCTTGCGCCCCACCCCCCAACCCCCAGCCCTGTGTTTATGATAGGGACAGGTATGGAGCAGGGAGATTCTCTACACCAAGATGGGTGCTGTGAGCATAAGCAAGCCTGGGAGTGGGGCATAATAGGCCTCACCCAGCCCACCCCCCACCCCCCTGGGTGCTGCAGGATACTCACAGGGCTCGTAGGGAGCTCAGTTGGCTGAAGGTATCAGCTCCGATTTCCCAGATGCGGTTGTGTTGGAGGCCGCTAAGGCAACAAGAGAGGTGGGGTGAGCCAATAGGCTCAGAGCCTGGCTCTGCTCCACACGCCCTGTGCACTGGGAGGAAGAAAGGAGAGCCCCCACTTCTCCTGGCACAGGAAGAAAGGGCCCAGCCCGCGGAAGTCACCAGAATTAAAGGGAGCACAAGGGGATCCGGTTGCCTTGGGTAAGTGGGTCAGGGGACAACGCCACAAACCATCCCTGTGGCCCAAAAGGGAGTCAGTTTCCAGGGTTCCCACCAGGCCTGGCTCCCAGCCTGGCCAGCCTCCCCGGATGGGTCCTTCAGACCCTAGTCCAGCAGCAGAGCACTGTCCAGCTCGTGGATGGTCCGGGTGACTGGCCCAAGCTGGGATGCAGGGCCCAGAGGACGCTTTATCTCAGTGGGAGGTGGAGCCGGGCCATGGCAGTGCCGGAGACGCTCCTTCCTCTGGCATCCAGAGGGTGACAGGCCCTCACATCCCTACCCTGTCCTGGACCCCAAAGACACTGCCCTGCCTGCGAGGCTCAGGGGTCCTGGTAGCCTGTGGGAACGGGAGCTGAGTGGATACAGAGCTTAAGGGATCTTTAAGTGATTTTTTCCTTGTGAAATTTGATTACCAACACGCTTCTTCCGTGCATGAGTATGTGCACCCATCCACACGCGTGTGCTCATGGGGGTGTGGAAATGAGAGCGCTCGTTCCAGGACGCTTCCTGGGGCTTTCCCCAGGCCTCTGCCCAGCTCCCAGCTCCAGCCCCTGGGCTCAGTGAGCGCAGAGGCAGGGTGGGGCAGAGTGTGGGACCCCTCCCCCTAAGCCTGCGGGTCAGGCTCACAAGTAGGCCTCTCCCCACCCACGGCACTCACATTTCCTCCAACTTCTGACACCTGTGCAGACTGGGCAGCTCCTCGATTTGGTTATGAGACAGCTCCCTGGGGAGAGAGAAGGGCCAGAAACTAGGGTGAAGCTGGGAGACGCAGCGCTGACCTTTCCTGCCAGGCCACCCTGGGCCCAGAGACCCCTACAGGGCTACAACTGGCCAGGGTTCCACGGCAGGGCCGCTGGCGTCCTCAGTCTGACTACTTTTCAGCCCCCACCTCTGTCCCATTCCTCCCTCAGGACCTGGATGGAGCTGACTGGGCATTTTTTCTCAGTAAGACTGCTTCATCTATATGATGGCGTGAGAGGGTGCTGAGGGAAGGGAACGGGCAGTGGGAGGAGCATGGAGATGGGAACAGCTGGCCAGAATTCAGCAGGCACTTCTGGCGAGCCTGCCAGCACCAAGCCAAGCTAGAGCGCCCCGGTCACGGGGATGTTCAAAACTAGCCCCGTAGGGGCCATCTGGCCCTTCACCTCACAGATGAGGAAACTGAGGCACAGAAGGACAGTGGCAGTCTGTGGCAAGGCTGGGCTCTGGGGCCAGGCACGCGTCCTGGGACTTGTGTCTCTCGACCCTCCCCGAGCTACAGGGCGGCGGTGCGTGGTAAAGCACCTTGGATTCCAGTTAGATCAGGGAAGAAGGTAACTTCAAAGGCCACATCAAAGTTTCCAGAAGGTTTCCTTTCTTGTGGAAACTAGCATCGTCCGAGTGCCTGCTGTGCGTTAGATGCTGTACAATTATTTTTTCGACCCTGACACATTTATTCACAATTTGCAGGTGAGGAAGTCGGGCTTCTGATACATTGAAGAATGAATCCAAATGCACACAGCCAGTAAGAGGCAGAGCTGGGCCCTATATCCAGGCCTGACTCCAGAGACCACAGGAGGGCACAGCCTCTCCTCAGCAGGCTCTCCGCCACCGTGGCCTCTCCAGGAAGGGACACGAAAGCGGGACAGAAGCAGGAGCAGAGCGGCCTCTGCTGGGTCACAGGGGCGAGGGCACCATGCCAAAGCCGGAGGATGTTTGTGAGGCACTCACAGCACTCGGAGCCTGGGCAGCTGCTGGCACATCCCTGGCGGGAGCAGCCGGATGCCTGCGCGGGTCAGGGTCCTGCAGGAGAATGGAGACGGAGCTGGCACCTGGGCCAGGGCCCTGCCAGTCACTGGCTTCCAACTCTGGCCTGACACTGACATGGAAGCACAGAGATGACAAAGAGACGTGGGAGGCACCAGGCAGGGTGTTGGCAGCGTCCCAGAAAGCAACAGCCGGTATCTGGGCTCAGAGCTCCCCTGGGACTGAAGGAGGCTGGGGTGGGGAGCAGACCGAGGGACTGGGCCGAAGGGCTCTGCTGGGCAGGCTGTCCCTGCCTACCCCGCCCACCCATGGCGTTCCCACCCAACATCTCAGAATGTTCTCCAGCTACAATAGATCCGAAGGAGAGGGCTAGACTCCTCTGCTCCAGGGCCCTCAAGAGGAGGGAAAGCCAAAGGCAGGGTGCACATAGAAAGAAAAAGCCCGGGTCCAGTGAGCCATGGGAACCACGCTCAGCGTTGGCTCCCTGGGCCTTGGGGGAGGGAGAGGAGATGGGAAAAAGAGAAGGACCAGGGGCCAGGAGGAGGGGGTGGGGTGTGGGGGCAGGTTGGAGAACAGGCTTGGCTTAGGGACAGGGTGTCTCAGGAAAGACCCGAGGACAAGGTCATCCTTGGGGAACGATGACTTCCCTCATGGAAAATTTTCTAGATGCCATTGCATCTAGGGAAGACAATAGAGGCACAGAGAGGAGAGTCTGGCCCTGGGGTGCTGGGAATGAGCTGCTTGGTGAGGCGGGACAGTTAACTCTACAACACTGACTCTGGATGTTGGCCGGACTGTTCCATTCATTCTCTTAAAATAGATTGAGGGTCTACTATGCTCTCTGTCCCTCCCCTGCCTGCAGTCTCTAATAGAAAATCTGAGAAAAGCTTTGCTGGAATCAAGCTGCAGAAAAGCAACAGAAGTGGGTTTCCACCATGCTCCTGGCCTGCCCGGTCATCAGGTCCCCCACGCTTGGGGTTAGGAGCTTGGACGTCATGTCTGAAGAATCAGAGCATAATAAAGAAGGAAAGAGCATCCCCACTCCCAAATGACCTGCCACCCTCAGTCTTGCCTGCAGACAGCGCCACCCTGGAGTGGGCCAGGGACCCCTGGGGTGAGGCCAGGTGACCTGTGCTTCAGGCTGGAGCCAGCAGCAGACACAGGCCAGATAAGGGGCGGACAGAGACCCTGGACAGTGCTCTGGGGAAGGCAGGCAGAGGAGCCCTGTCAGGCAGCTGGGGTGGAAGGAGACACATAGACCCTCTCAGGGTGGCAATCAGAGTCTCCACTCACAGGACTTCCAGGCTGGTGGTGCCTTTGAGATCGGGGAACTCCTGGATGTCTGTGGCGCCATTCAGGGATCTGGAAACAGAGGTCACAGCTCTGAAGGGTGGAGCAGAAAAATCAACATTGGGGCCCTCAATCCTCAGCATCTTCCCCTTGTGAAACTCCACTTTTGGAGAAATGTCATCCTGCCCCTAGCTTCCCTCAGAGCATGCCAGCTACCCAGGTGTCTTGCAGACAGCTTTGCTTAGCAGAGTCCAGCCAGGCGTCTCCTTAAGTTGGTCCAGCCCCTCTCACCCAAACAGAGGTAGCCACAGTGAGCAAGAAACACAGTCAAGGAACATGGGGACTGCCTGTTTAAAGGGCAATAGCTCAGATGCTTCTGAAAAGGCCCTTGGCTACTGGAGTTTGCCTCGTGGAGCCTGGAATTGGGTCTCTCTTTGCCATCTCTTGGGGCTTTTTCAGAACCTTTCCATTTGTTCTTTGAAAGAAGTTCTGCTGAAATTTCTTTCCACAGATGGGTTTCCCCCTCTGCATCATTCCTTACCTCAGTGAGGACATGGACCCAGATGGGGCCTTTACAATGGGGGCAAAAGACACAGGTGATGCCAGCATGGAGTCCAGAAATGAGCCCAGGATCCAGTCAAGGGCAGCACAGAGCAGAGAGCTTGGGATCCACGTGTAAGACACGCCCCCAACATCCCCCTTAGAGGTCAGGTGGCAGTGAGACCCCATGGTGAGTCTGAAAGTGAAGCGTGTGCATTAAAGCTGTTCGACATGTTCCTCTACTACTGGAAGTTCAGCCTTGGATGCTCTGTTGAAGAGGTGGGACTTGGGCTGAGAAGGAAGAGCGCAGGAGAGGAAGTGAAGGGATGTCTGCGGGGCCAAAGCAGCAAAGCTGGCCGAGGGGTCGCCATCGCCAGGCCCCTGGGAGCCAGAGCCTCGTACTAGCCCTCCATGCTTCCAGCAGGTATTCACGTGATAGCTACACGAGTGGGCTCTGAAGAGGTCAGAACTCCTTGCCCGTGGAGAAGGGCCCTCTGTCCACTGGCCATCTGGGATAGCCACGGTCAGGGAGGCAGCAGTAAGTCCAGACAGATCTGGAAGCAGGCCTGGGCCCCTGGGACTGTGCCCTGCAGGCGAGAGCAGCAGGGGGCAGGCAGGAGGCCGGGCCAGGACAGCGGGAAGGGAGAGTCCCAGCCAGTGGCCAGCCTCAGGCGCCAACTTACAGCGTGTGCAGCTTTGGCAGGTACTGGAACGCTGACCTTCCCACAAACTGGATGGGGTTATCGTAAAAGTGTCTGGAAGAAAAAGACCCAAACCCCAACCCCTTCTTCAGTTGGGCCCTTTCCATTGGAAACAGGGCAGAGCTTTGCTTTTCTCTCCTGTCCTGGGAGCGGCCCCTTCCCCAACACGGATCAGCCCCAGGCCAGAGAGGCCAGAACTCACATTGTCTGCAGCAGAGGGTTGCCCATGAAGGCCTTTTCCGGGATGGCTTTGATGTTGTTGTTGTGGAAGCCCCTGCAAGGCAACGCCAGAGACACTGAGGACTGGGAACACATGAAACGCCACGATGCCCATGGACAGCCACCTGGAGGGCCAGAGCACCGGAGACGTCAGCCCAGAGAGTCCAGGTTCAAGTCCTGCCTGTGAAATTTCCTCTTCATTCACTCCCACCGTCATCCGTTTCCTCAGCTAGCAAGAAGGGAGTGTGGGTAGAGCCCCGGGCCGCAGGCCACCTGGGGTGGCAATAGGGAAGAAAGAGGCTGAGCTCAGAGCCCAAGAGGAGAATCTTCTCCTTAGTCCAGTGTGGGGGGAATCTGGAGCCCCTCAAGGAGGGAGCAGAGGGTGAGTGGGAGAAGGAGGATGAGGAGAAACCAGCGCATCCGGGGGGCGGGTATGAAGGATATTCCCCAGAGGCACCTGCTTTGGCCTCAAGGCCCTGACGTGAAAGGAGCCCAGTAGCAGAGCAGGGCTGAGGCAGTCATGAGTGTGGCCATGGTGGCATTTCGGGAAGGTGAGGAAGGTGCGCCCCAGCTGAGAGGTTAGGGTCTGGAACTGGAATTCCACGTTGGTTAGTGGGGAAAGCACCTCAAAATACATGTTGGACTGAAAAGAAATAACCCAGGCTGAGCAAGACCTTGCCTGTCTTCCTCTGGCTTCCCTGTGTGGTTCCTGCCTCAGTTTCCTCTCTCGTCTTCCTGCCGTCCCCTCACCCTTTGACCGTCAGATCTCACTCTCAGGCGCACCCTCAGACAGCCCGCCTGTCTGTCTGCTCACTCGTTCATCCCTTCATTAACTTGCCCGTTGTGTGGTTTTGAACACAACCTTCGTATCGAGTGGGCAGAGGGGTTTAGAGATTTGACAGAGCGCTGTCCTCAAGCGCTTTCCGTGTATAGAGGGAGAGAGGAAGGAGGTAGGCAGGCACACTGCCGTACATGAGTCTTCTTGCCTCTGATAACTTAGATCTCTGCTCTCGTTCCCTTATAACACTTTCTAATTTCCTGCTCCTGTACCTTTGTATACTCTGACTCCTCAAATCTCATCTTTCTTTTTTGTTGCAGCTCAAAGGAGAAGGCAGACCTTGGTGACTCATTGGCAGGAGGGGGGGCGGGGATCCCTAAAGCTTCGTTCTCAGACTCTTGCCACCAGCTGGCCCAGGGGCTCCTTACCTGCCACACACACAGACGTTACCCCTTGACATTTCTGGACCATGTGGCACAGCGCTGGCACAACAGGCCATGAGTGGTAGGTTGAATAAAGTGCTGTGCTATGTTTAAGTTTGGAGCTCTGCTTGTGCCTCTTCAGGGTCCCCTGACCTGGGTCTGGATCTTTGCCCAGGTCGGTCCACCAGCAAGGCTGGTCTCCCTGCTGTGGGCATCCCTCTGGGCATTCACCGACTGATCTGGGTCTTTACCTACAAGGTTCCTTGATCTGAAATGCTTCCTCTTCTCCTCACCGCCCCTTAAATCCCCTCCACGCTCTCAGGCTAATCTTAGGATGTGGGGGAAGGTGGGACCCATAGAACGCTCACGATCCCTTTAGCTAATACTGTGTGATTTAGGGCTGGAATTACAGGCTGACCCTACTCCCTGTGTTGTGCTGTTCACCTCTTGCCATGAGTTACTCCATGTCCTCCACGGGCACGAAGAGTCCTGGGGGATGACCCTTTCTATCCATGTTTGTGTTTAACAGCAGGCTCAGTGCTGGGCTGGGTGACTGCAACATGCAATGATAACAATGGCAGCTGTGGGAAACCTCAGCCAGCTGCCCTTCTCCGCCAAGACAAACTGCTGAGGAGCCACCCATAAACCGGGCCCAGCTCCTCTCCACACGGGGCTCCAGACACACCCTATGCAAGAGAGAGGCAGTGCGTGCCCCGGCCTAATGGGAGGAGGCTTGTGCCCTGCGTCTCCTCAGGCTGGAAGCGCCGGGGGCCATGACTGCTGATGACACACCCCTCGGAAATGCTCAAAGCCAAGCTAATGAGGCCTGCAACTACTTAGACCTGTACGGGGTGGGGAGAGCATGTCACTTCAGCTTTTACAAGGACCACGGGAGGTGAGGGTGTGGGGGGGGGGGCGCTTGGGGCTGGCCTGAGCCTGGCCCCCAGAGAAGAGGGTGTCCACAGAACGGGCAGAAGAGCTTACAATTCCTGCAGTCTGCCCAGAGTCCGGATGGCGACGGGGAACTCCTGCAGCTCATTATAATTCAGGTCTCTGGAATGGAAAGCAGAGCAGTCATTAAAGGGTGGCTCGGTGGGGCATGTCGGGGTCCCTGAGAAGTGGAAACTTGGCTCAGGGGTTGGCCAGAGAGATGGGTTTTCCAATCGGTTGGATCCAGCTGTCAATGCCTGGAAACACATTTTTGGAATGTTCACATTCCATTCCTGCTCCACAAATCCTCGGGCTCCCAGCCCTCCTGGCTGCAGAACTGTTCGGAGGGGACACTTAGGGATGTGGATACCTGGAACCAATCCTTCAGAATCATCCCCACCAACTGAGGAAAATATCCTTAAGACTTCAGTGGCTGGGAGTGGGGTAGAGGGAAAATGCAGCCATCTTCAACCTCTTGTCACCAGTACTCTGGATTCTGGAAGTTTCCCTCAGGTAAAGACCTTCACCGTCTGGGGACTCCGCTGTAGGTGTCCGCAGGACAACTAGTCTTTATTTCCAATTACCTTTTTCTGCACTTTCCAATTTATTTGCCCTGTTTACTCAGAAAACAATGGAGGTCATTTTACTAAGGGGCAGTGACCTACGTTGGCAAGGATGTAGGGAAACAGGCATTTTAATGAATCAGAAGTAGGAATTTCAATGTGCACTTTTAGAAGTAATTTGACGGTATCCAGAATTGATCCAAGCCTACCAGATACTACTGGGTTTGGATGGTTAATAAAGCAGTGCTGTTTAAAAAATTTGAAAGACAGCATCTTTTTGAATTAAAAGAGGCTGACCCAGCTTTTCGAGGCTCACAGCGAAGTCTGCATGGGATGTGAAGGTGTTAGCATAAGTTCACGTCAACATGGCCTGGACCGTGGGGACAAGGTGCCAGCCTGCAAGTGACCCAGCTTCGCTCTGTCTGCCCCAAGGGGGCCTCCGTGTTCTCGTTGTGGCAACAGCAGAGTAAAGGATGAGAGGGAAATGAAAGAGGCCACGAGTAAATTTGATTTTCATTCGAAAAGATTCAGAAAACTGAACAGAAAAGAATAGAAAAGAGCCCCAAAGCAAGAGCGCCCTCGGGAGCTTGTATTTTGAAGGAGGTAGTAAAGTCTGCGTGGGCTGGCTGTTTGCGTGGGCAATAGACAGAGTCAGAGCCCAAGACTTCAGGAAGTTTGCTATTTGTCATGTAACGGGATCCCCTCCCCATCACCTCTACAAGAGACTTCCTGAGAGGCAACCATCAAGCCTTTAAGTTGGCCCTGTTTCCCTCAGGAGTCTCTGCGGTAGCCAGACATGGAAATATGCCTGATTTGGGGAAGGAGACAGCTGTCTGGGTGCTTCTAGAACCCCGAGGCCAAGGCACACTCTCAGGGATTGGCAATGGGGAGGACTCGGTTACAGAGTCCCTCCTGATCCCCCACCCTCAGGTTGACCCCAGCCTGTCCCCTCAGCCTTTTAAGCACCCTTCCTGACACCTTTCCTGAGAGGACAGTCCGATGGCAGAGCAGTGACTTGGCAGGGCTGTGGGTAAACACACACGAACAGGCGTTTCTGCTTGATGGGGTCATTACACTTAATAATGCCCAGGTAGAGCCAGGAACCCGCCAGGGGCCAGAAGAGCAGTGACAAGCGTCTGGCAAGCAGTGAACCGAGTAATTGCCCCCGCCCCCAGCCCCCAACACACACAGACACACACACACAGACACTAATTACCCGATTATGCTCTGACTCCCCTGGTGATCTTGGGTAATTACGGCATAAACCACCCTGCTCTGCTCTGCTCTATTCTCTAGTGAATCAGACACCCTCCCCCCAACGCATCCCAGAGAGGCTCCCACAGGTTGTGTGGCGGGAAGGAGGACTCCCTCAAGACAGGGTTGCTCAAAGAGCTTTCCCTGAAACTGGGGGTACTGGAGTTGGAAACAGTTTTCAGTTCCTGGATTTCCATCATGGGTGAAGAAGATGGCTAGAAAATCAAGCTGGGGGCCTGGGCTTGGAGCAGCAGTGGGGACATACAGGGCTCTGGCCTTGGCATAAGTGAGTCACCCTCATATTTCAAGGTCACCAAGCAAGGATCCCCTTTTGATTTGGCTCAGCCCATTTAGGAATTCTCTACTGACACCCAAGGAAAACTTGATTTCCCTTAAGTAACAGGAAGTCATCTTCACTGAAATCTTCAATGCAAAGAGTTGCTTTAGTCTGGCTTCAGAGCTTCTGCTCACACGTCTGTCTGTGTGGAATGCTCCAAATCTTTGCCTGGTTTACTTCACTTTGGTCAGGTCCCTGCCCAAATAACACCTCATCAGAGAAGCCTTCTGTGACCATTCTGCTTAAAACAGCACATCCTGTCATTCACTGTTCCCTTTCCCTGTGTGGCAGATTAAATGGACACTAGGCTAGCATTTTGCAATATCTAAGTATATCAAGTGAACACACCGTGTGCCCTGAGCCTTACATAACGTTCTATGTCCATCGTATCTCGACAAAGTTGGAGGGAAAAAGAAAGCCCTCAGTCCTTTACGGTGTCTACCCAGAGGGGGCTCAAAGGCTTCCTGAGACGGGGCCTCGTGACAGGCACTGACCAATACGAGGTGGAAATGACTCGATGTGACTGAGTCTTAAGTCACAAGAGGCCTCACTGTCCCTGCCAGAGGGGCACTCCCACCCCCTTATAAGGAAGCCTTGGCAGGACAGAACAGCCAGCACCGAGGCCCCAGGCATGTGAGGGAGACATCTAGCACCCCCTTGGCCTGACGGGTCCCCCCACCCACTGATGACTACAGTCTCATGAGTGAGCCCAGGAGAAGGGCTGCCCAGCTGTGCCCAACCAACCCCAGGTCAATGAGATATCAGAAACTGTGGTTTGAAACCACTAAGTTTGGGGTTGATTTGTTATCTAGCTATAGAAATTACATGACTCCATTTCTCTCCCTTTGTGAAGTTTATAGCCATCTGACATTTTTGTTGATTCTTCCCACTCTACCACAATGAAAGTGCCTGGAAAACAGGGACATTGTTTCATATTCTGCAGAATTTAACACTGCAGAGCAACTACTTAGTGAATGAATGAACGAAAAGGCTGGATAAAGGGACTAATGGAAAACACTAAAGGGCTCTTAAAGGTATGTAGGGTGTTTGGGGAACATCTTGAAGATATGAGGTTGGGGTCCAAGAAGGCCCAGTCCTGAATGGTCCTGTCAGGCTGGTCCAGGGCCACAGAGATGTGGGCCTCTGGGGCTTTGCTATCACTGAGCCTTCACAGTCCCAGGTCCCAGGTCCAGGCAGCCAACTTGAGTGGTTCCAGCCCTCCTTGGATGTTTCTGGTCAGGACTTTTGCCAGGAATGGCCCAGCACACAGTGGGAAAAGACACATGGGAAAAGGCATAAGAACCAAAAGGCTATTTTTGTCAATGAATGTGGGAGAATGATAACAATTGTGTACATGTCAAAAGAAATTTGGCCTGAACTTTCCCACTGGACATTGACACAGATTCAATGGCCTGGACAACCTCCAGAGCCCGGCTTGATCTGGGGCTGCACGGAAGTAACCTCTGGCTCTGAGTGTCCAGGAAGGCGTCTGGGCAACTCTCTCTGCCCCTGATGAAGTCAGTTCAGTGCAGTGGAGGCTGGGTGCCCATCCAAAGTACATGAAGGATTCTGCTGGGTAAAGCTGAAGGTAGCAAGACAGATAAGAACCAGGCCTGTTTGAGGAAGGTGCTCAGCCAGGTGAATGTCTCAGCATGATGTGAGCACACAAAACATCAGACCTTCAGAGACTGAAGAGTCCAGGTCCCAGTGGCTGGGCAGCTGCTCAGTATGCAGAGAAGGAAGTGAAGGGTAGATGTAGCAGCAGGTCTGTGCTGTGGCATTTGGAGAATGAGTGATACAGTTTGGTTGAGCAATGAGCAATACTTGGAAGGGTGTCTCCCCTGGACTGTTGTACACTTTCCTAGCTGGGGTCCCTGCCTACGGGTCAGTCCTGGGGTAACCTCGGGGAGCATTGATGACAAGCCGGGCACTAAGCACTGTGCTGATGATCTCTGCATCCTCACAACAGAGGTCGATTCTATGACTGTATCCATTTCACAGTTGAGGAGCTGTTAAGATGCACAATTATACCCAGTTAATAAGTGGCTCCACAGAGACCATTCCCTGTCCCCAAAGTTTCCCCTCAACTGTCTCTACAGTTGAATGCCCCAGCGCCACAGCCACTAGTCCAGTGTGGCTATTTAAATGCATATTAAGTACAAGTTGAGAAAGAAAGCTCAGCTTTCTTGTATGAATCACACGTCAAGGACTCCATAGCAATGCATGGCTACTGGTTACCATATTAGAGATACAGATTTACATTTCCATCACTGCAGAAAGTTCTGTTGGACAGCACAATCCTGTTGCCATAGGAGAATAACCAGGGATGTAGCTAGAGTGTGTCTCCCAGACTCCTGCCCCTTTCAGCAAGTACGTTCTCTCCCAAGGATGGTAGAAGCAGTCCGAACTACATTTAGTCTTGGGTCCAGGAAAATAGCCAAGCCTGTCTCCTCCATGGTCTGCCTACCCTCCCACCGGGGAGATGCCAAAGACGATGAGGCTGTGAGGATGGCAAGATCCCAAGAAGCTGGGTCCCTGAGTCACTACGTGGAGGCGGGCCACCTGCCAAGAAGAAACACCCTCCTTGGGCTACTATACGATCCAGAAATAAACTCCTATTGTGTTGAAGCCATTATACGTGTTTTGGCTGATTGGTTACCGCAATTTAGTCTACCTCAGCTAATTCAGTGTCATGGCCAGGATTTGAACCCTGGCAGTTTGAGTCTGGAGCCCACACTCTTAGCGACAACCCACTGCCAGAAAAATCTTTAAAATGCAAAGTTGACTCGGTCACTCTCTGATTGAAAAATCTGAAAAAGCCCCTTCGTTATTTACAGGATAGACTTCAGATTCCCTGATGGGCTCTGATGCCTTAAGAAATCTTTCAGTTTCATCTGTCATTTCAGCCCTGATGTATTTTCACACCCTCATGTATTTACTTGGGCCATGCATGCCCTCAGCCTGGAATG